ATATATATATATATATATATATATATATATATATATATATATATATATATATATATATATATATATATATATATATATATATATGAAATCGAAATCGCGACACTCAGATCTACGATCCTGTGTCGCAGTGTGATAAGGGAGAATCGCGACACACCCCGTGACTACCTTTCCCCGCTTGACAACGGACAACGGCAGAAACATTGCCAATGCTGTCAAAGCATTGTTGTTAATGTGGCTGCGCAGAGAGGGATGGGCGTTCACCAGATGCCCCGACTCCTCTGCAGATGAAACTTTTCTGTAACCGTGCTGTGCGCTTTCTTGTTGAACCCTTTGGGAGTTAACGTTACGTGCTGACTGACAGGTGCACGATGCGTAAGGCCAGGAAACAGGAGGAAGCTTTCAGTTAAGATGAACACAGTTTCTATAGTTATACTTTATTTAGAGATAAAGGTATATGACTGCATATAATCACTCTATCTTGCTGGAGTTTATAGCCGTTTCGCTTTACTTTACTTTCGCTTTACTGATAAATGCCGCTCTGAAGGTCTAATCGTTGTTTTAAGTTATTGTTTACTTAAAGTTATTGTAAACTGTTTACCAAAAGTCAACATATGCGCGCGTTGTTGTCTTTTCATCACGCAGCGCGCACTTGAACCGCGAGGGAGAGAGAGGAAACCATAGCAAGACATAATCTTTAAAATAATGATTTCTATTAAATGTAAAAAGTTTTGTTATTATAATAATAACAGCGGGGCATTAAATAAATGCACTTTTGCGTGGAGCGGGCAATTTGAGGAAGTCTGCGATTTTTATTTGACGGAAGAAAAAACATAGCCTATGATTGGAAAAAAACAGCCTATGCCGGTTATTAAAAAGAATCAGTCAGTATTTTCGTTTTGTAATAAAAATTAATAATTTGAATGAAAATAATTTAGGGCAGTCCTATTTATTTTATTCATTTTATTTAGATTGTTCTGCTCTTCTGTGCCAAACACTGCAGGTGCGTGAAAATGCTCTGTTGTTCTGTTCTGTTATTTATATGCTAGCATATAAAAATATATCAGTATTTTAAAATGCAATATTTAATGTGTCAGACACAAAATAGACACGTTAATTTGTTTAATATAAAATTAATAGCCTAGTACTCTCCGATTAATGAGCGGAGGTTGTCGGTTAGCAAAATTAACCGAAATGAGCATCCCTAGTAGCCATTTAATTTACTTTTTCTATGAGAGAACTTGATTGAAAAAGAATTTTCAACATGCTTGAACCATCTACACAATGGAGTTCAGTTCTGTTTGGTTTTTCAACAGTATTTTGTTACAAAGAAAACAAAAGTGATATAGCTTTGGCTATTTATTTATTTTATATATGTTTACTATTTATATTGTTAACAATTTGCATAGGTAATATTGTTCTTTGATGTTTAGTTTATAAAGATTTTTCAAATGTTATTTAATAAAAAATAGTTTTAAAAATCTTATTTTTTTTTACGAACCGAATCGTGGGTCAAAAATCGTGATGCGAACCGAATCGTGGGTTTGGTGTATCGTAACAGCCCTAATATATATATATATATATATATATATATATATATATATATATATGCATATGAATATTTTTCCTTATAATTATATATAAGAAATATTATATATAAAGAATCCCAATGTACATTTAGTATGGCATTTATTTGAATTACTTTGAGTGGAGAATATGAGTGGGATGGTTTGTTGTCTGAGGTTGCCAGGGTAACCATAAGCCTTTGAACGGCCGTTACGAGAGCGACTTGACTATGAAGAGCAACAACACTATGACCGTCTCATATTTTCATCCTTTAGGTGAGTCAATCCTGTCATAATGTCATTGAAATGCCAAGATAGCATGTTCTTCAAGGGTGCTTTCACACCTACACTTTTGTTTCGGAACGTGTCTCGTTTGCCCAGTTAGCGCAGTTCGTTTGGCATATGTGAACAGGGCAATCGCGCTCTGTTCCGCGCCAAAGTAATCGCTCCGAGATCGCCTGAGTGAGGTGGTCTCGGCTGATTGAAACTAACCCTGGAGCGGTTCGATTGCAGTGAGAAATCCGAGCGCGGTTATATCACAGTGTTTTATGGATATGTAACAGGCATACGGCTATATGAAGAAAGAATTATGAGTAGGGCGGGAAGTTTCGCGAATCTCCGGATGCCCACAAACGAGTGATGATCTCCCGGTAATCTCGCGTCTCCCTCCTGGTCCTCAAATAGGCATCGTTGCGCACCCTTCTCACCCCTCCCCACCGCGTCTCTCCTCAGACACGTCGCGCGCGCTCACCCTGTCAATCACCACCAAACCACCACCTCTCCTGACAGCTGAGCGAGACGCTGCAAAATAAACCCTGACACTCTGACCAATGTGAGCAGAGTTTACTCGCAGGTGACTTGTTTTAGCTCTTTTGGTCCGATTAGAAACTTTGCAGTGTGAAAGCGAACCGCTCCAAGAGCAAAGAGCAACAATGTAACAATTGTAATCTCTGTTTCAGAACGACTGAATCGATTCACAGGTGTGAAAGCACCCCAAGTGTCTTAACAGGTTGACTGAGGTATTGTGCAGTTAAAAGGGTACTTTCTAGCGAAGATTGTATCTGTTGGCTTACATTGTATCGAAACAGCCGCCAGCGGCTGGGTGTGTTATTTGGTAACTGCAAAGTTTATAAGAAGAGCTCCACCTCGCTTAAATTCAATGGAAAAGTCATATTCTAGTGTCGCACTAGATGTGGATATAACTGGGGGCGCGAGTGGTGAGGGTAGTTTTAGGGACGCCGCTCTCTCTATTCTGCCGCCCCAGACGCGGATATAACTGGGGGCACGGGTAGTGAGGGTAGTTTCAGGGACGCCGCTCTCTTTGTTCTGCCGCCCCAGACGCGGATATACCTGAGGGCACGGTTAGTGAGGGTAGTTTCAGGGACGCCGCCCACTCTATTCTGCCGCCCTATACGCGGATATACCTGAGGGCACGGGTGGCGAGGGTAGTTTCGGGGACGCCGTTCTCTCTATTCTGCCGCCCCTGACGCGGACATAAGTGGGGAGCGGGTGGTGAGGGTAGTTTCAGGGACGCCACCCTCTCTATTCTGCTGCCCTACACGCGGATTTACCTGAGGGCACGGGTGGCGATGCTAGTTTCAGGGCCGCCGCTCTCTCTATTCTGCTGCCCTAGACGCAGATATAACTGAGGGCGCCATGACAAGGGTAGTTTAGGGGATGCCGCCCTGTCTATTCTGCCGCCTTAGACGCGGATATACCTGAGGGCACGGGTAGTGTGGGTAGTTTCAGGGACGCCGCCCACTCTATTCTGCCACCCTATACGCGGATATACCTGAGGGCACGGGTGGCGAGGGTAGTTTCGGGGACGCCGTTCTCTCTATTCTGCCGCCCCTGACGCGGACATAAGTGGGGAGCGGGTAGTGAGGGTAGTTTCGGGGACGCCGCTCTTTCTATTCTGCCGCCCTAGACATAGATAAGGGCACCAGTGGTGAAGGTAGTTTCAGGGACGCCGCTCTCTCTATTCTGCCGCCCCTGACGCGGACATAACTGAGGGCGCGGGTGGTGAGGGTAGTTTCAGGGATGCCGCCCACTCTATTCTGCCACCCTAGACGCATATTTACCTGAGGGCACGGGTGGCGATGCTAGTTTCATGGACGCCGCTATCTCTATTCTGCTGCCCTAGACACAGATATAACTGAGGGCGCCGGTGGCGAGGGTAGTTTAGGGGACGCAACCCTGTCTATTCTGCTGCCTTAGACGCGGATGTACCTGAGGGCACGGGTGGCGAGGGTAGTTTCGGGGACGCTGCTCTTTCTATTCTGCCGCCCTAGACATAGATAAGGGTACGGGTGGTGAGGGTAGTTTCGGGGATGTCGCCCTCTCTATTCTGCCGCCCTAGGCGGCCGCCTAGGTCGCCTCTATGGACGCGCCGGCCCTGCCACCAGCTGTTAAAGTTATTGTTTTTTTTCTTTCATGTGGTAAGTTTTTAGTTACTATCCTCTCAAAATCATTTTGTATAAACATGCAGATTTTTATTATTTTTTTGTAATTCTGTGCAGAGAGAGCAAGGAGCAAGGGCCAGACAGAATCTGCGGAAGTTTTTTGCTATTTCTGCGGAGAATTTTGGTAAAAATCGGCGGATTTCTGCGGAATTATTTTGGGAGTATCCAGCGGAGCGTCATAACTAAAACCTTAATATATGAAATAAAAAGTAATAAATTACTGAATAAAAACCGAATAAATTCAGATTCACACATTTACTCAAGTAAATAAACAGAATTAATGATGGGCTAAACATCTGCGGAATTCTGCGGAATTCTGCACGCGCAGATTCCGTTTGGGCCTAGTCATTATACATGAACAAACACAGTTGAAGTTAAAATGATGCGCCCTCCTTTTTTTTCCTATTTAAAATATTTCCCAAATGATGTTTAACAGAGTCAGGAAATTTTCACAGTATTTCCTATAATATTTTTTCTTCTGGAGAAAGTCTTTGTTTTATTTCAGCCTTACCTGCCATTGAGGGTGTCGTCTCCGCCCAGGTGTCGAGGGGCTGAGTACACAGGCTGGGTGGGCAGCTGGTCGGCCCGGAGAGCGCTGGCTGCGTTCTGGCTGGAGCTCAGCGAGTGCGTTCGGTACAGTGTGCTGGGAGGAGCGTTGTGCTTTGGTGGACTCGGGTCGATGACGCCATGAACATCTGGAGTGGTGGGGGACGCAAGGTTCACCTCATGGAAACCTTCGAGCGGTTCGCTGGCCATAGCCCAAAAGATCTTCATACAGCACTCTGAGAAAACAGCAGGACACGCAGTTCGGTTTATAACAGTAGTTTCCTTTATTACTACTATTTTTACAAATAACAAAAACGTTACTAGTAAACCAAAGTTCGTAGAAAAACTTTATCGTGGCTTGAGAAAGCCTAGTCTGAAAGTTTGAAGTAGTTTCAAAGTTGTTAGCATGAATTAAGTATGAATTAGCATGTTGCTAGTATATTTATAGTATGAATTAGCATGTTGCTAGTATATTTATAGTATGAATTAGCATGTTGCTAGTATATTTATAGTATGAATTAGCATGTTGCTAGTATATTTACAGTATGAATTAGCATGTTGCTAGTATATTTATAGTATGAATTAGCATGTTGCTAGTATATTTATAGTAGGAATTAGCATGTTGCTAGTATATTTACAGTAGGAATTAGCATGTTGCTAGTATATTTACAGTATGAATTAGCATGTTGCTAGTATATTTACAGTATGAATTAGCATGTTGCTAGTATATTTATAGTATGAATTAGCATGTTGCTAGTATATTTACAGTATGAATTAGCATGTTGCTAGTATATTTACAGTATGAATTAGCATGTTGCTAGTATATTTATAGTATGAATTAGCATGTTGCTAGTATATTTATAGTATGAATTAGCATGTTGCTAGTATATTTATAGTATGAATTAGCATGTTGCTAGTATATTTACAGTATTAATTAGCATGTTGCTAGTATATTTATAGTATGAATTAGCATGTTGCTAGTATGACTAGTATGTTTGTAGTATGGATCGGTATGTTGTTAGTATGTCCAATGTATAGTCAATAGCAGTGTATTACAATGGAAGTCTATGGGACATTTGCTAGGGTGCTGTAAGTGGTTGCTAGGGTGTGGCTAGTAAGTTGAAAGGTCATCAGCGAATGGTAGATCGGTAGTCTGAGTTAAATGAGCCCAAACTTAAGTCTGTATGACAGTCTGGCGCAGGTAGTTGCTAAGTCGTTGCTAGGCAGTTGCTGAGGTGTTGCTAGGTGGTTGCTTAGGTGTTGCTAGGTGGTTGTTAAGGTGTTGCTAGACAGTTGCTAGAGTGTTCCGAGTGGTTGCTTAGTGATTCCTAAGGTGTTGCTAGGCAGTTGTTAGGGTGTTGCAAAGGCATTGCTAGGTGGTTGCTAAGGTGTTGCTAGGCGGTTACTAAGGTGTTGCTAGGTGGTTACTAAGGTGTTGCTAAGTGGTTGCTAGGGTGTTCTGAGTGGTTGCTAGGTGGTTGCTAAAACGTTGCTAGGTGGTTGTTATGGTATTCATGGGAGTTGCTATGGTGTTGCTGGATGGTTTCTAGGGTGTTCTGAGTGGTTCCCAGGTGGTTGCTAAGGTGTTACTAGGCAGTGGCTAAGGTGTTGCGATGGGGGATGCTAAGGTATTCTAAGTTGTTGATAGGCAGTTGCTAACATAATTTAGCATGCTTCTAGTATGAATTAGCATTATGCTAGCATGTTTCTAGCATAAATTAGCATGTTGTTAGAATGAATTAGCATGTTGCTAGCATGTTTAAAGTATGAATTAGCATGTTAGCATGAATTTAATATGAATTAGCATGTTTGCTAGTATGTTTCCAGTATGGATCGGTTTGTCGTTAGTATGTTTCTAGTATGATCAGTATATTGTAAGTATTGATTGGTATGTTATCAGTATGTCCAATGTAAAGTCAATAGCAGTTTATTACAATTGAAGTCTATGGGACAGCTGCCAAGGTGCCATAAGTGGTTGCTAGGGTGTGGCTAGTAAGTTGAAAGGTCATCAGCGATTGGCAGATTGGTAGTCTGAGTTAAATGAGCCCAAACTTAAATCTGTATGACAGTCTGGCGCAAAGTTATGATGTTCCAAAGTTTGGTTCAATGTCAGGTCAATGGGACTTTTCCAAATTTTCCGGGTCAGTTTTTTGGAAAACCGTAAGTCGGATCAGTTGGAAAAGACATAGCAACTTAATTCAGTATAGTTTGGAGGTTTGGAGTTAGTTTGGTGGTTGTAGTATGAATGGTCTAGGAGGAGATGTGTTCTTAATATAATCTCAGAAGACGACGGAAGAAGAATACGTTTATGTAGTATATCAGTATGTTGCTTTCTCAAACCACCATAATAACAAAATAACAAAAATAACAAATAACAAAAGCTGATCAGAAATAATGTGACAAAATTACAATTGAGCAAAGATACACATTGAACAATACAAAAGATTTATTTCATGTGGAGTAATAAATACAACAGAAATTGATTAATGAAATGTAAACATAAAACACGGCATTGTTCTCACAGTATGAATTAACTATATACAGATAAACAGCTGAAGGATAAATTATTTATACTACTATTATTTGTTGTACTACTAAGGGCTGTGCTATATTGAAAAAAAAAACTGACAGTGCGATGTTTCGCATTTCTGCGATACATATTGTGATATGAATATAATTTCACAAAATTAGTAGCTGTTTGGAAATAGTTCAGAATTTTACATTGATTGGGCTGATTTTGTAGGATCTGCATAAGATATCTAAAAAAGATGAAAACAACAGCACAAAGATAATCAAAAATGAAATAAACAGCGCTTTATGGTTTTCGGTGGAAGTACAGAAATTTAATCATCAAATCTAAAATAACCGTCTTCATTTTATACACAAATTCAATCTTTGTAAAATGACGAAAAATGTATAAACTCGTGCATGAATTTTCCAATTTCCTCAAAATCTTACAATCGTAGGCCTTAAAACACATCCAAGTTAAAATCTTACACACTATTAGATTACGGTTCAAATTCACAGTGACTTCACAAATCATGTGTAGTGCACTAGAAGTAATGCAGGGTTCCGCACAATTCATTCATGGTCCCAACACAATTAGAGTAAGTTCACTTAAATTTAAGTGGACTAAACTATAAACAAATAAGTTATCCCAGAAATATCTCAACAATGGTGTTGTTTCAGCTCATTTTAAATAAGTAGTTTGAACGAGAAGCAAAAATCTTTTCTTTTTTTGGGTGTGAACGGTGGTTCCTGGTTAATTATAATCCCAACATGACATTGCAGATGCTGTGATATGAATATTGCAGATACGTACATTGCGATATCGACTCTTATGATGCGATGACCATATATTGTGCAGTCCTAATACTTCGGTCAAATTAAAAATTTTTAAAATGTCTTCCACGTGCTGTCTTCGTTTACATGTTGACAACAATAACAAACAAACAAAAAAAAAAAAACGTTTTTAAACCTCCTAGATTTAAAAACAAATTTCTAATAGCTAATTTGTTTAGTCTTTGCTCTGAGGTAGAGACCTGCGTGGGACTAAATTTTGAATCCCGCTCCCGCCCGGTTTTAGCCCGTACCCGACCGCTCCCGCTTGTATTTGTTGTCCCGCTGCCCGCCCCGCCCCGTTTTCTACCCGCCACGCCTGATCCCGCTAGAGAGCGCGGGGGGGAACAAAACCGAAAATCACCCAGCTATACAGTCCAGACCATTGGTCCAGACAGCCTATAACAAGCTGTCTGTATAAACACACACACACACACACATAAGCACCAAGCGCACACACACAGGAAAAGCTTTCTCTCTCTCTCTCTAATTCACGTGCGCGCGCACTAAAGGCTGATTTATACTTCTGCGTCAAACGCCGGCGTATGCTACGGCGTTGCTGACGTGCGCCTCTCAAAAAATGTAAATACATGTTGCAACGACGCGTAGCGCAAGCTCTGTGATTGGTCGGCTTGGTAGCGCTGATGAGTCTGGGCGGGACCGAGAGCCGTGCGAGCGGCGCTAGCCCAATGGAGCGATTGTTTACAAGTGTGGAGTAGGATATAGGATATAAATATAAAGGATTAAAATATTACAAAACATATTATTTTCTAGCCTACATAAATATGAAAAACCACTGCTTTTATGTCTTCTTCATCTCGGGAGGCTTTTTCAGTTCATTCATAACAATTTGCTTCTGTATAATGTTATTATTATTAGCAGTATTATTTATTATATCCATATTTATATTTGTTTTATTAAAAAAAGCTTAGATTTGTCCACCTGTCAGGTTTTAGACCATATGGGGCACAGCATGTGTTTTAGGATATAACTCAGGTTTTTGAGCACACTTTGTTATTATTGTTCATTTATTCGTTTGCTGGAAATTAGAACTGAATTTAGAAATAGTTTTGAAACGAATATTTGCGCTTAACAAACGAAATTAATTATTTATAGACTAATTGATGTCTGTGTGTAAAGGTTTTCCTATCCAAGACCGAATGTGAAAGTGATCCATTATCTCTCATTCTCTTGCAGTAGATGCTCTGTTTAACAGTTTTCTGTTAACTGTTTGCTTGTGAAATGCTCATTTTTTCCACTTAGACTTACTTTGCGTCCTGTAAATAGCGAATGCGCTCTTGGCGCGACGCAGCTGGCTCTTAAAGGGAATGGGAGATGAGACTCTAATTGGTTTATTCTCAAAACACACCTATAACTCATTAAGAAAATAAACTCAACCTTTTTAGACCATGCGCCACAGCGCAGGGCAGATTTCCCGTCCTTAAATTAGCAAAAATGCGTTCTGACAAGCATTTGCGCCCTGCGTTTTTGCGCCCTGCGTTTTTGCGCCCTGCGCATGGACCGTCAAAATAGAGCCCTTTATCTATTCGGCAGTGGCCATATCAGTTTTATGATATAGTATTGTTAGAACTTTCGACAGCCAGAATTAATAAAGCTAGAGCCTCAACTCTTGATGCGTGGAAAATGGCTGCGGACAAACTGGCAGGAAGACTCATGGATAATAGACATTGTGCAACAACTTTGAATCTCTAAATCTCTGATAGTTTGTGTGAATATGTATTTACTTCTGTTAGTGTATGGCTATGTGGATGGATGTCTATATGTACAATTAAATTTTTTCTGTTATTTGTCTTGATTGCAGTGCTATTGTGGGATGTCATGGACTTTGGCACCGCTGGGGGGCGGGTTGGTTGTTTTTTTTTGGGGGGGGTTGAGGAGTGGATCTTGTTTATTGAAAGGAAATTGTAAAGATGCTACATGCTACAACCACTCACATGTAAAATCAAACTTAATAAAAAACTTAATCACAAATAACAAAACAAAATCGTCACTTTTGGCTTTAGGTATTGGCTCAGGCGCTGGTACCCTTTTAAAAGTATTAATTTGTCACCGTATGATAAAAACCAAAAACGGTACACAATCCGACATAATACTGGATGAATTTGTGTTTTGAACGAATCTGTTGAATTAATACACATTTTAAAAGCTGATATGTAGCCTCCTATTGACATAACTGATACAAAACCTAATTTAGTGTTCAGTGTTTGTCCATCAGCATGCTGTAAATCATTATATAGTCAAATCCAAGTCTGTTAACATTCTACTATGAACAAGCAAAGACTTTGATTGACTAGCATTAACAAAGGTTTGCTGTAAATGCGGAGTGTTCTCAGTGTTCAGAAATGAGACCTTTCGTAGAGTGTTAGCATTATAATAATTGATTTGATTATAATAAATGCTATAGAATGAGAGGTAACAAGGACAGATGATTACGATGGCAGGGAAACGTACCATTGTGATGAAATGATGTTTAAAGCTTTAGAAGTCGGCAGGAACAGCAGAAGAACGCTTTCACCTACAGACAAAAAAAACAAGAATACAAACCACAGATGAGCGAATGATCAGTCAGGACCCACAATAACTGAGGACATGAGGATACCCAGTAAACAATTCTGTGTTTAATAGACGTTTAGTAAACATCTAAATGTAGACAGCTTGGCTAAAATAAGGCTAAACTTGGGAACATCTAATAGACATCTAAGAATAGCCCAAAACAAATAAACAGGTTAGACCAGGGGTCTCAAACTCGCGGCCCGCGGGCCATTTGCGGCCCTCAGTGCAATATTTTGTGGCCCGCGCCGACCGCTGTACTCTGACAGAATCAGCGGAGCGGGGAGAGAGAGCGCTCCCCGCTCCGCTGATTCTATCCGTACACAGCGGTCACTGGCATTCCCCGCCCACCGTGTAAACAAAGGGGCGGGGATGCCGGTGACGTCACCACGCACCCCGCCCCTTTGTAAGACGCTGTGACGGGCGGGAAGTGTTACCGTACGTTCACACCGAAAGCGCCAAGAGCGTCCAAGGTCGCTCTGGCGACAACGCTCTCTGCCTTCAGCTCCTGCGGCGAGAGCGTCAAAACTCGCTACATTGATCTCATATTTAAAGGAGCCGTTGCAGCATATCAGTTACATTCCTGCATAAAACATGTTTCTAGCGTGAAAATGTTGCGCACTTCTTATCAAATTCATACAACAATGGAAGATCAAGTTGCGTGTGGTGTGGCTTTGCTCTATTTATCCAATATGTGTCCCTATGTCTGAAATATCCTGAAGCAGCAGTAACGTTACTGTTTTGTACTGTCACATCGTGTGAGATTCCCGCTTTTTTAAGATAAATATATAACATTAATGAACATCAGTAACTCGCCAGTAACTTATTTAATGCATGTTCCTGTAGGAAAAAACTGTAAATAATTGGAAATCCGGCGACCGCAATAATCAAACCCTTGGGAACAACTGTGGTCGGAACCAAAGTTCACAGGTCTGTGTTCTCTGAACTGCTATCAAGCGATGGACGTCTTCATTCTGATTGCTTGCCGCCGAACCGCGTCATAGCTCATTACCATAAAGTTGACTTCATTTCAACTCTCCTCGACGCTCACGCTGGCGAAGACGCGCCGCGCTGCTCCTCGCCGCTTATCGCTGCCGGCTCTCATTGAAAATGAATGACTTCCGGCTACTTTGACGCTCTCGCCGCTTTCGGTGTGAACGTACGATTAGGAGGGAACTCGCGCCGGCCAGAACCAAGGTAAGCTGTTCCCGCCCCTGCCTGCCACTTAGCTACCTATCTGCAGCCTGCCATCTACCTAGCTACAGCCTGCATCTTATATATATTATAGGTAGATACAGACTGTTACAGACTGATGTGACTGGAGTGGGGTGGGGGTGTTTTATTTATACATATATACGCCTTTTTTTAGGTGAGGGAATGGAAGTTTTGAGTGAGTTCCCCCACTTGAAGCGCTGTCAAGTCTCTGGCAGCAAGAAGTAGGCAAAAGATGCCATGTTCAGAAGAACTGTTCATAATCTTCACTAAATGTTCTATTAATGTTCAGGACACTTCATGTTCAGAAGAAATAATTAAAACTGTTAATAATTTACATTTGAGGACTTTTTTTTGTGTGAAATCCCTTATGCGGCCCAGCCTCACCCAGACTTTGCCTCCTGCGGCCCCCAGGTAAATTGAGTTTGAGACCCCTGGGTTAGACGGACTTTATAAGTGTAGTCGTTCATTTCTGTTTAATCGAGGACTAGTCTAGTTTTGGCCTGATCTTAGACGTCTATTAGATTTTCACTGACAGCCCAAACTATGTTTAGATGTCTATTAGACATCTTTTAAAAGCAGAAAATGCTTGCTGGGTAAAAAAACAATTTTAATTTTGGGTCAAATATCTTTAAAGGCGCCGTATGTAGTGTTCTCCACTAGAGGGCGAGTTTTCACAACAAACAAAGGTGTAGTTTGATGATGCTGTGACTGAGTGTGGAATCGAGGGAGTTGTGGTCTTTATTATCCTACGGCACCCCTGCTGAAATCACGGTAAAGATGAGTAAAGTCAACTCTTATTATCATGGTAGTATGAAGCAGAGTGAGGCTGAATGCTGTGAATTTGACAAATTGAGCCTTTAATAAGATTATACAACTGTAAGATGCAGGGGTGACGCGGTGGCGAAGCGGGTAGCATGTTCGCCTCACAGCAAGAAGGTCACTGTTTTTTTTTTTTAATAAAGGGACTAAGAAAATAAAATGAATGAATGAACGAACTTTAGGATCCAGCCATGATGATAACCTGGTTAGGGTAGAAATAAAGCAAGTAAATAATCAAATTCACATTTCAATCTGTCGATTTATTTACTGTAACACCACAGAAAAACATCTCAAAATGCTTCTCCTCAGTCAAGTTAAAGGTGCGCAAGATCAGGAGAATGCACTGTCAGACTGTGTGTGTTGTGTTTGTGAACGCTGTAACAAACTGACCAGACATATGATAGGACGGAGCTTCTCATTCATCAAATATTGAGTCCGCTGCCGGAAACAGTCCAGCTCATTTACATACTTTCACCAGTGGAATCCATCACTAGTTGTCAAAAGCATGCATGGGTTTAACTTCTCGACCAGGTCACGATTTGCTTTATTGAGAACAATTTGCCTTCACCACAGACTCTCGTTAGACGTCATGGATGTGAACATCGATACTTGAATGTTAAAATCTTTTAATAATTTTAAAATGTGCCAAAACAAAGATTCTTTTTAAATAAAGTGATTACCTACAATGACATTTTACATGTGCTTACAATGGCATACTCTTACTGGCTAGGCTTCAAGGATTAACAGGATAAGAAAAACCTGGATGACACATTTCAAAGGTAAGTATTATATTGCGTTAAAAAACATGTAAGATTTTTATTCTTGGTGGAAATGCTGTTCATGTTAAATAATATGGTACTAAAGTTCATGTTTGTTTTATGCATTGGGTTTAGATTTGATCAATAAAGAACTACATATCTAGCAACAGTGAGCGAGTCAAGAGGCGCCACATTATCCATAATGCATCAAAATTATCCCTGTTTTTGAATAAAGCTACTCAAGTCAGCTGGTAAAGTTCTATTCATATCTCAATATACAGAGCAGAACATGTCACTTTATTTTATAAACTGGATTGTGTGTAACATAGACAAACAAACAGCAACAGAACATGAAGACTATATATGAAAAACTGGCATACATTCAACCCAAGCTCATTCTGTAAACGTAGCCCCGCAGACGTTTCTGGAGACCGCGATTTACGTGGCCGGAGGTTTTCGAGCAAACGCTGCGGGGCGGTGTGGCGCCGCTCCGCCCCTCCTCTTCCCGCTCGGCGGCCAACGGCTCGCCTCAGAGTGGAGGGCTTTCCCGATGCAACTAATTTGTCCGCTTAGCTCACAGCGTTGAGTCGGCGGAGCGGAGGCCCCGGAGGAGGAGCCGGCCGCGGGGACGACGACCGGGATCGAGTCCGGGGAACAGCGGTTCCGGAAATCAGGTAAGACGAAAAACGGAATCCAAAAAATAAAGGCGAGAACGCGGCGGGATCCGAAAACGTGGTCGAAATCGAAGACGAGGGCTTTTGCTTTTTTTTTTTTTCTGGACGGCTTTTGCGAATCGTCAATCGGGTTTAGGGAAGGAGGAGGAAGAGGAGGGCGACCGAGTCGGCGGCTTTTCACGCGAGAACGGCGCGGGCGCGAACAGTGCATGCTCCTGAGAGGCGCCCGAGACGCGAAAAAGCGCGCACAGCGGCCTCTCGCGGATCCGCGAAAACAAAAACCGCTCGAATACGTACCTCCCGGAATGTAAATCGCAGTCCGCAGAAACGTCCGCGGGGCTACGTTTCCACAATGAGCCCGGGTTGCATACATTCCTAAAGTGAAGCTCTAGGCCAAGGCTTTTTAATTGGTGGCCCCCCGAGTCAATTTGTTCCGGCCCTCTAAATAGTGTGACCATGACATCGAAAATAAATTTAGCTCAGTCAAAAAATGGCCGCAATAGTAATTTCAAGAGTTCCCACTTAGATATGCTTGCCGTTTATAGCAGGTTAAGCATGCTGTCCCGGTAGAGAACCCTGAGCTCGGAGATACTTAAGCCCAGGGCTCCCGCCTAGTCAATAAGCATATAAGGGGATCCGAAATAAGGTAGGTCTCTAGAGCTCCCCCTTAGAAAAGGAGGAGATGGGGTGGAAGGGGGGATTCTTCCAAAACGAAGATAGAGCAGTAGGGAGAAAACAATCCATTTATAGTAAGCTTGGATCATTCTGATTGGATTATTACTGATTACAGATTAGAACCAAGTCGTGCTCAATCATATCATGTGCTCCTCTCGAAATTAGTTTGAGAAACTTCACGAAGTGACGTGCACCTGTTCCATACAGCACGAGATGCAGTTGAAGGCTGCGCAGAGCGCGAGTCACCTGACATTAAGCGAGTGGCGCGAGCAGCCATCTGAGCTGGTGTATTTGCATACAGCAATCTGATTGGTTGACGCTTCCATCAGCGCTTGAAAAGTTGAGAAAGTCCCAGCTTCTGCAGCGATGCCCACAGCTGAAGGGGCACCGACGGATCCACAATGCAGTTCGGCAACGTCTAACGTCACCCATTCAAAGTGAATGGGAAGCTTTGAAGCTGACGCCCCGTGTGAATAGGGATGCGATGATTAGCCGATTTCACGATTAACCACGCTTTGATTCAACATGGTTAATTAATCGTAAAGGCTTCTCAATGCCGCGTTTTAGTTGCACAGAACGAAATTGCTGCAGCAAAGTTATGCCACCTGTGCGCTAGTTTAAAGTTCCGAGCTTATACCGAGACTAATACGCACGCACATTGGATTAACTATTGCAGCACATTGTTCACATATTGCGTCTTTTCCGCACGCAAGTTCATTATTTCCAATGGAGACGTGCGCATATTAGGAGCGGACCGACGCACTCGCGCCCTCCAGGCGCACACAGTAGAAATGATCTTACGCTGTAGTAATGAGAGTTGAGCGTG